AGTATCCCCTGCTGTCCCCACCCTCCTCCCCAAGGAGGACGCCCTGGATCTATCTATGTTTGTAACAAACTAAGTAGCAAACAATAAAAAAATCATAATTTGTTGCAAAAAATGCAATAATTTATTGCGGAAATGCAATAATTTATTACGAAAATGCAATAATTTATTACGAAAAATGCAATAATTTATTACGAAAATGCAATAATTTGTTACGAAAAATCATAATTTATTACGAAAAATGCTTCAAAAATTCACCTCATTGTGAATACATTGAATATAGCGACCAAGTTCACGAGGACTCTGGTACAGCTCACCACATTCATGTTGTGGAAGATCCAGAAAAGCAAATGCATGTGCTTCTCGTTTATCTGTTACACTGAAAATCCCCAAATCTGGCTGTTAGAAGTAAATTCAAAGATCGTAATTCTTTCCGCTACCACTTCTTGTGAAAGTCGAAGGCACTCGAAAGCATCTCAAATGGTGGAACTCAAAATTTTGAGGATTGCTTAGAAGCAAGCTGATGGCGGGTTTGACTCCTACTGTCTTTCCCATCATAATCCATTTACTAATATTTCACCGCACATTAAAATTCAAGAATTTCGGCCGTGCCGTATTTTCCACGGCCCGGACCAGGTTTTACTTCAGAAATTACGGTTTGGCCTACCAACAACCGAAAAAAAATTCCCTTATCAATTTAACCCACTTCGGCCGTCGCCCCATTTGGGTCGTCCACTTCTGAATCGATCGTCAAATGGCTGTTACTTCAAAAAAAAAAATAGCTCTGGTAACTCTTCCAATTGCTTGGACCAATGCTAATACATCGCCTGATGGGCATCCGGGAATAAGGCTTTAGTAGTTTTTCGATTAAGTTTTATAAAAATGAAAAACACATTACAAGTTGCGTGCAATCGTATATTCCACTTCGCTGTTCGAAATTTCCCAGGTTGCGAAAACATCACTTTTATGATGCTCATAAAAATCCAAATCCAAATCTTCGATATCTTCAATAATATTATCAACGTTCCCGGGTTGTGTCCAATCGTAAATTAGAATTTCAGAATGTTTCCTGGAGGAAAAAAACCCGTCAATTATGTGAAATTTCGTTAATTTAAAAAATCATTTTTAAAATATAAATTTTGGATTCAAAAAAAGCAAATTTTGCATTCAAAACTTTATTCACATTTGTAACCTTATATTATATTATTCACATTTACAAAATGGATTAGATGAATTTCAGTAAAAAAAAATTTAAAAAAAACAAACTTAAATTCCTTCAGCGCATCTTTGTACGAATCTTCGATCACTTGTAAATACTTTCGATCCACCACTGCGATTTTATCTGCCTGAAAAACACGCATGGATTCGCCAGTGACCATATCAGTCGTGGAATTACTAGTAGCCAGATTTATGTAGACACAGTGAAAAACAGCTGGCTGTTGGAAATCGTAAAATGAATCAAAAAAAAACAAACATACATTGCCTTCCTGACGAATATTCTCCAGGCATTTATCGACCGGGACATCCAAATAAATCACCAGATGAGGCCAGAAACGGCAATTTGGTATCATATTTTTACGCTCAATGTAATAGTACATGAAATCTAAAACAATGATTATAACAAATTAAAACGCAAAGATCACATGAGTAAAAAAGAAGGTCAATCCAATATAACGCAAAATGTGGGAGTCTCTGGAAGATTTTTGCTTTGAAGAGTGCCAAAAATAATCCAAATTCCATATTTCCTGACAGGACACGAAGATTTATGAGAAAGAGAGGTGTCTGCGTGTATGTGCGTAGGTGTGTGCGTGGGTGGGTGTGTGTGGGCGCGTCTGTGTGGGTGTGGAGTCGCGAGGGGAATA